CGGTTGGCGGCGGGGCTGCTGGTGAACTTGGCGGCGTCTATTTGCATCGTCTTCCTGAACAAGTGGCTGTACGTGCGAATGGGCTTCCCCAACCTCAGCCTCACGCTGGTGCACTTCGCCGTCACCTGGCTGGGGCTGTATGTGTGCCAGTCGCTGGGCGTCTTCGCCCCCAAAAGTCTGCGGCCGCGCCAGATCCTCTCCCTAGCGCTCAGCTTCTGTGGCTTCGTGGTCTTCACCAACCTCTCCCTGCAGAACAACACGGTCGGCACTTACCAGCTGGCCAAGGCCATGACCACGCCGGTCATCGTGCTCATCCAGAGTGTGGCCTACGGCAAGACCTTTGCCACCCGCATCAAGCTCACTTTGGTGAGAAGCAGGGCAGGGTGTGGCGGGTGGGCAGAAACCAAAGGAAGAGGGGGGCTGCCCTCGCTTGCGGGAGCTGGGGCTTCCCCAAGTAATAGGCTGCAATCTTAGAGCAAGGAGAAATGCTGGAAGTGAAGTATTGCCAGAAACAGCATGCACTGTAGACAGGATCGCCTTTTTGGTTGATTATGAAGTCGCTGGTTAAAAATAATTGATTTAAACAATTATTTCCCAGGTCTGGTGCTCCTAGATTTGATGAATTAGGCTGTCTACAATTTCTAAGAATTGGTGTACTGGCCGAGTCATAGCACTGTACAGTTGTTTGTTTGTTATGTGTAAAATAGTGTGTGTGTGTGTGTGTGTGTGTAGGTAAAATAATGAATGTCCATAGTTGATTGTGGCTAACTACCCAGTGTGTAAAGGCTTTGACTTAAAACTATAAAATGTAAATGCCCCCTTTTCATCCTAAAATTGCAAGATATTTATCAGGTTCAATCACAAAACCAAAAAGATATGCTTTTTAAAAATTTGTCAGACAAGATGTTATGAAGAGCTAGAGATATAGCACCTGCTAGCCTTCTGTCTTACTTATACACGTTAGAGGCTGTAGAAATTCTAATCATTCGGAGACCAAAAAGTCTTATGAAGACTGTTTCAGTACTAAGAAAAAATACTGGAATACTTACACTTCAAATGTTTCTTTCTCTCTTTCACAGATTCCAATCACTTTAGGTGTTTTTTTAAATTCTTATTATGATGTGAAATTTAGTTTTCTTGGAATGATATTTGCTGCTCTTGGTGTTATAGTCACATCTCTTTATCAAGTGGTAAGTTAAATATGGTTTTAAAAAATGCAAGCTTAGAATAATATTTTACGTAATCTATTCTGTATTAGTTTCCAGTCTTCTGAGTAGAAAATATTTGTTGTACATAGGTTTCTTTTTATTTAAATATGTCTTGTTTATCTGTAGGAAAAGCTATTTTCTGTTGAAAAAACTCTATACACAAGTATATAAATTGTATTTGTAGAAGGCTGGCATATGCACTCTTAAATTCATCCCAACCTGGTGCCAAGTTGTATTTGGCCATAGCTTTTGACCATGGATGATACTGTCTTAGATTAATAAGGAGTTTTAGTCCAAAGTACTTGTAATATTATTAATATTTTAAATAGTTAATTGAATAGTTAATTGTATGATGATAGGGATGGGAAATTGTTGCTTATTCTGTTTTGTACTCAACAATAAATTGTGTGCATAAGGATGAAAAATGTGGCTTTCAGGAAGCTACTGCATTGTAATATCAAATATTTTGTCTATAAATAGCCTATTAATCATTTGAACAGTTCTGAACAGTCTTTGATAGTGGTTCACCCCAGTTTCAATAGAAAAGAATATATGTAGCTCAGAGATGAACTATGGAATCCTTAGTACTCTCTGAGTTTGGTTGTTTGCTTCCAGACATTTCATTACCCAATTAGGTAACATCATCAAAGCTAGGAGGAAATGGGGTTCGCTCTCTGCTTAAATATAGTAGCTTGCCCTGTCAGTGTTGATAGTGGTGGTGTTTTCTCCTTGGTAATTCCTTGATTAGGCTGTTATTTATTACTTGATGGTTGGTAGTTCCATTTCATAGCTTGTGGTGGTTCCGTTGTGGTGATTGGGTGACCAGGCACTCATCCAAGTTTATATGCATTATTTTTCCCATAGTAATATTTTTGTGAGAGATAGATGACATTTGGTCTTTTTAGAATGGGAAGGGAGTTGAAAAGATTTCTAAGGAGTAGGTGGAGGTTTTATCATTAAACATACATTTTAAATTGAGTTTCCTCGTGGCAAATAAAAATAACTGATATTTTAAAGTTTAAAATATTTTCATTAAAGGTAATTAAGCAAAATATTAAGCGGTTGTTTTTAGAAGTCTTTACTTGTCTTATTGTTGACTTTCTGCTGACTTTGGGTGCAGTAGTCATTACAGATAGTACTGATAGGCCTCTGCTTTCTCCACCCAGTAACAGGCCAACAGCTTCCAATGTGAGCTTCAGGAGCATGTCTTAACACAAACGGCTGGGAATGCACTGCACCTTTGGCAAGCTCTCATTCTTCCACCTCCTCCCATTTTGCACCACACTCAACAATGCCTCCTGCACAGCTACAACCTTCACCCAGGGAGCCACCACTACCTCTCCTATGTCATCCAGCAACAAAACATGCTATGCCTCACAGTCCTTTCTCGCTGCACATTCCATGGTCTTCAGGCTATGCTACTTACATTGACAATGGAACCTGGGAGTCTTCCACCTGTATCACTGCCCTGCTTCCTCCCAAGTTGATAACTTCTAGAATTGTTCAGCCAGCATGATTATTATTAAACATATTGGCAGCTGATATCCTCATATATAGAAGATGCCCATTTTGGGAAAATTTACTCTAGTCTAGAACTATCCATGAAGGTCATAGCTGGAATTATATTTTCTTGTTTCCTCGATTTACCCATTCCGTGCAGTTTGTAGCTTGCATCCACTTCAAATTCAAAAGTTTTAGCTCATGTTTATAATATTTAATTGCTAGCAAGCTTGCATATTAAGATGCCTTTCTGCTTTAGAAATATTTTATTCAGTTTCATTTATTTTATTTTTTTGGCATTTTAAGAAATCTGTAATCTAGACACTAATTTTTATGCCACTGTATCAGGATAAACAGAAGAAACTGATTGTCTTTTCTTTCAGATGCTTCAGATGCTTTGTGCAATTGGAATAAATAGGGTTGAGCTATATACATGCTTTTCTTAAAGTACACACCAATGCAGTATTTTAGTAAGCATATTGTAATTTGTTTATGTCAAGGTTAGACATGTGGGCTATTGATATATTTTTCTTTGTTTCAGTGGGTAGGAGCAAAACAACATGAACTACAAGTAAATTCTATGCAGCTACTATACTATCAAGCACCAATGTCATGTGGCATGTTGCTGTGCGTTGTGCCCTTCTTTGAACCAGTCTTTGGAGAAGGTGGAATTTTTGGCCCCTGGACTCTCTCTGCTGTGGTATTGTTCATTTCTCTTCTTCATTCTATTTGTTCTAAATGCTCTTAAAATTTAACGAACAATATTCATATTCAAATATAGGAAAATGTAATCCTAAATTTGGAAGTTCTTTATTGAATCAATGTTTCCCATTATTTGTTAGCCATTGAATTTTCAAATGTGAAATATTACAACTGAAGGACTGCATGAAAAGATCATTCACTACTGAATTATTTTTTAAAATAATCTTTACTTTATACATTAACATAAATTAGTCCAATTGATAATGACTGCATACAGTATATTGCTTTTCATTTCTTCAAGCATTTGTCAGAAGGCACACAATGAAGTAAATCTTCCTGAAATCAAACAAGCTGGTCTTGATTGATTCATTTACATTGTCTTAGTTAGAGGGCTGGCTTGGGGTATTCCTTGGTTCTTCTCTTGCCATGAATTTTGTCTATTTTTGACTCTTTGCCAGCTTCATAGTAAAAGTTTTGGGAGCAGCAACCACAGAAACAGAAGACAGCAAACAATACTTATGAGTAAATATACAGTGGATTGGGCCGCACACTGTTTTCCAAGAATAATCAAAAGGCTCCTTATTATATTGTTTTGGAAGGACAGTAAAGATTATAGTACATTAAGTTTTAATACTTTGATGATTAGTCATTTTCCAATTATAATGGCATTCTTGCTGCTTAATGTTTCTTTTTACTCCATATTTTGTGGTGGGATATTTTTGTTTCAAAATAAAAATTAACTTCTAATCCGTGTTTTATTTATATCACCCCCTGCATGGTGTAATCAAAAGGCATAGTTTATAAATTCAGTAAATGATACTAATGTACTGACGATGTCTCCTTAAATGGTGATGAAACATTTGCAACCAAATTGCCAAGCTCAGAGTTCAAACCAACAACCTAACTACCAACCCAAGCTACTAATATTCAAACACATTTCAATAATGAATAAAACTGCTTAGGAGATGGTACTTAAAATATTGCTGGAAATAGGTATTGTGAAATGTAAATCTGTTGAACCCTTTTTATATAGCTTTGTTTTATACTCCATATTTCAGCTTGCAATTAAATGTTCAAAGAAAAATGCTTCCAGATTTTTAACATTTATCAAATGAAATAATAATTCAAAGTAGAAAAAACTAAGGATAAGAAATCAGATCCAATTGTTTACGGACACAGGCTGTAATTCTTACTGTGAATGTGAAATGATTGGAAAGGATATCATTTGCAACCATCTATGCCAATTATTGTCTATTAAAAATCATTTGCAATGATTTGTAAGTGCTTTTTTTTCCCTAATCCACAGTCTATGGTGCTGGTCTCTGGAATAATAGCATTTATGGTGAACTTGTCTATTTACTGGATTATTGGGAATACTTCACCAGTGACGTATCCTTTCACTTGGAAAATTGTTCCAGTTTTGCAAAATTATTTACTGTATTACACTAGTAATAAACTGTAGAAATCAGAAACATCAGGTGAGTCACCAATAAATCCTTTTAAGTAAAACTTTCAGAAACCATAGAATCATATTGTATTGGACTTAAGCACTATGTTTTAGGATCTTTCAACAAGTTTGTTTGCATTGTTTTATGAGAGAATAACTCATCTCCAATACTTGAATTTACTTTCTATAGTAGCAGTAAAATAATAATGAATGTTTTATTGAAAAAATACATAAAATGAACACAGGCCGTCCTCGATTTACAACAGTTTGTCTAGTCACTGTTCAAAGTTACAACAGCACTGAAAAGGTGACTTATGACAATTTTTCACACTTATGACCATTACAGCATCTCCATAATCTCGTGATCAAAATTCAGATGCTTGGCAACTGACTCATATTTATGATAGTTGCAATGTCCCGGGGTGATATGAACACCTTTTGTAACCTTCTGACAAGCAAAGTCAGTTGGGAAACCAGATTCATTTAATAACCATGTTACTAACTTAACAGCTGCAATGGATTCACTTAATAACTATGGCAAGAAAGGTTGTATAAATGTCTTACATAGCAACATAATTTTTGGACTCAAAATTGTGGTCATAAGTCGAGGACTCTCTGTATAGTTAACAATGACAGAAGTTTTCACTTAAAGCCAAAAATGAATTAACGAATACAAGAGTAGCACTTAAGAAGCCAAATCTGGCACATGATTTAGTATTTCATTATTTTTGATTCATTATGATGTTCCTTAATACGGTTATGTAGATACAACATGTTTGGACACTTCAAATTCTGCATCACCCTCATGGGAGGATATCTCTTATTTAAGGATCCTTTATCAATTAATCAAGGCCTTGGAATTACATGCACGTTGTTTGGCATACTAGCTTACACACACTTCAAACTTAGTGAGCAAGATGGGAACAAAAGCAAGCTGGTTCAACGTCCGTAAATTAAGTATTTTTGTTGGTAACAAAAGAATTGCTTTAATATGCACTGATTCCAAAAGCAATGCACTGTCTATGGAGGAATCTAAAATTGTCCATCTCCCAGCAGAGCAGGTATTCTCTCTCCTATAGCTCCCATGCACTGCCACTTCCTACTGTGGCCAGTTGGAGTATGGATTGTATTAAATTGAGGGGGTCATAGGATTCAGTAGAAAGAAAAGCACAGTAAAGAAGACTGATGATGAAGAATGTCTGCTCATGTGGGCATATCCAGATTCATTCATTCATTCATTCTTTCCTTCATATTCTCTCTCTTTCTCTCTCTCTTCCCCTCCCTCCCTCCATATGTATGTATGCACAATTTGTTTCTCCTAAAGGGCTGTTTGTAATTACAGTGCAATCTCTAAGTGAACTGTCCTATTTATACCAAATGAACTCATTCAGACAGATACAATGTTTTGTGCTAGAAAATTAATCATGTCCTTACAATTATATCAGTATTAAAAGAGACTGTTTTTTTGTGATCAAATGAACATTGAAGTTTCTTGATCTGGTAAATACTGAGAAACCAAATTATTTTTCTCTGGATTTTTAATTTCCATCTGGGACTTTGTTTTTAATACTCACATCCATTGTTATATTTGTTCTGAATATTTTAAAACTTAATGTATATTTAACTGTAATTAACATTCACAGTTGAACAAAATACTGGTACTCCAAAATTATTAAGACCTGATAATTTTACAAGTTGTTAAGTTTTCTAAGTTTGTAAGTATTACCTAATTCTATGCAGGCTGGCTCCTGTAGTTTGAAAGTGTTTTCTTTTTGCTTCGTTCAAGTAATTTATACAAGAAGTTTCTTTTCTAATTATTTTGGCGAGTGCAGATGTAGTGTTACTCGCAACTTGATTTGTAAACTTTCTTGCAACTTGTATATATTTCTGTTACGTTTTAAACATATTTAAGACAAAATTTACAAATCATTGTGGGGATTTTTTAAATCAACATGATCCCATTCTTTCAAATGCTAGTTAAGGATAAATTCTCACTGAAAATTAACTTGGTGATATAAAGATAACTATGGTTAAACCAAGATGGTATTAGTCACTGAGGAACTACTATCCAGTCCTATCTAAATGTATCCTTATGTTTTAAACTGTAGTTATAATATTTACTTGAAATTATTGGTTAATTCAACTTAGTTGGATTATGATTAGCTATAGATTTGTCATGTTACCATGCTCCAGATTCTATGTTTATGAGCTCTGTATAGAGTAATTCTGTACTCCTGACCATAATAGAGACTGCTTATTATGATTGGAAGTCATAACAGCAGATAAAGGAAGTGACTCTCTTATAACCCCTTCATCCCTGCTTTCCCAGATGTGGTTGTTCAATAGATCATCATTTCCCTCGGGGTGGCGGGAGAGGCTCTGGAAGGCCTAATACACTCCCAAGACACCCTGAACTCTGCTTTCCTCCATTCATAGTCTCTGCAGGCCTTGGGGTCTGCCTCCCTTCCCACCAAGCGCCACACCCTCCACCCCACTTCATGTCACCATCTCACACTTTTCAAAATCTCTGGTTTCAGGTTAGGGAAAGAGGAGAGGCTGCTTCCAGGATGGCTCTGCATGACCCAGCAACAGAGCAGCTTGCTCTGCTTCCCAAACACAAGTTCCGCAGTATTCCACCATGTTCTGCAGGGCTTCAGAATACTGTGGAACTCATGTTAGGGAAGCAAAGCAAACCACTGCATTGCTGGGCCGCATGGCACTATCCTGGAAGAAGCCATTATTTTCCAAGTCACTACAATTCAGTGTGGCTACTTGGAAAAGCAGCTGTTTCTGGAGTCACACCACTTAGCCCAGGAACGGAGCAGCCTGTTCTGACCCAAGCCCTCTTCCAATAAAATAAACACAAACCAAAGGAACAGAAACTTTTTAATGATTCTTACGAATCCCCAGTTAAAAGGCTGCTGCAAACTAATTAACTTCCTCGCCAAAACTGTGCAAGGCTACCAAGAATTACAGATAAGAAATATTTCACAAGGGTCTTCAAATACCAACTTAAGATACTGCAATGTCCACGAGGCTGGAGTTTCCAAACTTTTTTGCTTCCTGCAAAGAATGTCTGATTCACAGCTGGCTTTTATCTTCTTGAAGGAGGGGCCATTACCTTGCAGCCTTACTCCCGAGTCGCCTGTGCTGCTGCAGCCGTTCTTTCCTACGAGCAGCCCTGCGCACTTGGCACAGGCTCCTCGGGAATTTCCTCATCGCTGCTTCCAGCCCCCACAATCTCTGAAGGCAGCAGTCCACTCCCTAATGGTCCTGGCCCCTCATCTGAGTCCTCACTCTCCTCAGCCGTCTGCACCTGCTGCCGGCTAACCACAACACAGCCTGTCCTTCCCTAAACAGAGCTCTGGAGATCTTTGAGGAGGAAGATATAGGGCCCAGCAGGATGGGAAACAGGCCCAAAGCCTGCAGGAATCTGAGGAAGGGAATTGGGTGGGATACAGGCAGGAGGACACTACAGGGTCCCTGCGGCCAGCCCTAAGGGCAAAAGACTGTAAAGGAACAGCAAAAGTTTAACAAAAAGATAAGAATGCTATAATAAAAGTGTAGTCTGGGACAAATCTTGTTATTGCTTTATATATTGAAAAGTGTTATATTCTGTTTTATTTTTGAGATCCAGTCTGGTCTACAGGTAGACCCTGAGTTACAACCATTCATTTAATGACTGTTTGAAGCTAAAACAACTCTGAAAAAATGACTTTATGACAGTTGCATTGTCCTGGGATCACTATTTGTAATTTTCCCAGATGACATCTGACAAGCAAAATCATTGGGAGAAGCTGGGTTCACTTAACAACCATGTGATTCACTTTAACAACTACAATGATTCACTTAACAACTGTGGCAAAAAGAGTCGTAAAAAGCTGCAAAACTCACTTAACAACTTTAGCAATGGAAAATTTGGGCTCAGTTGTCATAAGTCAAGGACTACATGTAGCAGTTAAAGCTAGAAACCACAAGAGAGATATCCCTGGTTTTGCCTTAGGCATGAAGGTCAGCTGGGTGACTTTGGAACTGTCATTCTCAGTTGTTGTGGGGGAAATGGAGGGAGGAGCATTAGGTATGTTTGCTGCCTTGAATGTGCTTGTGTGGGAGGGGTTTTATATAAATCTTTAAAAATATATTGGGGAAAAGACTTTTCTAGGAAAGGAACAAAAGTCACTTTCCTAATGAATCTTTAATTTTAAAATAGTTATTATCTAAATATTCCAAATATTAACTGTAGTTCTAATTGAAACTACCCAGGACAAACAAGGTGAATTGATCAACTGTAATAATTTACTGTTTGGCCAAATTCTAGAAGGGAATGCAGAATTTGCCATGAACTGGACCAATATACTGTGTTTACACTATGATTGAAGATCTGTAGCTGGTTTTATGTACTTGTTAGACATATTGTCTGATTAATGTACTTTTTTTTAATCCAAAGCTGCGAAAATTATAAAAACCTAACCATACTATACACTAATGTAATGACCTCTAAATTTCTGAAAATGCAAGCAGTCTGTATTTTGCACTTTTGATTCATTTGTACTGTTTGTTACAGGAAAATGTCATTTCTTAGTTGTATACATTTATGTTAGAAAATAACCTTATAGGCTAATGTTACTTTTGTGAGTGTATATAAAAATCAGTCTGAATCAATCTGCTTTGGGATGAAGTTTTGTCCATTGAAGGACATGCTGGATTAGTCCTAGTCCAGCACCTTAATGTCTTACTAACTCTATTGTGTATGTTTATCTGTATTACACTCTTGTGTACACACCATCCATTCACCCCCTGGCCATTTCTATTTTTACAAAGAACAAACCCAAAAGCAGATGAGGAACAGAGTCTTTACTCTCCTGTTACAAATAGATACTTATCTCCCATAAAAGATTTAGGTTTGTTTTTAATCCCGCCTTTATTGTTTTTATAAGTAACTGAAGGTGACAAAGATAACTAGTACTCTTTCCTCCTTCTATTTTCCCCATAACAAATCTATGAGGAAAGTTGGGCTGAGGGAGTGACCTAAAGACACCTGGCTTTTCACTCCCAGTTCCCTGGTTTCTGATACCTTAACCACTACATCAAACTGGCTCCTATGAACCTGAAATTCAAAGTTGGAATATTACAGTATGCTTTCAGAAGTATTCATTTTGGAAGGGAGTTCACTTTTATTTCAAAAATGCATTTGATCATTATATTAGAATAAAGACATTACAATGTTTTTTGTTTTGTTTTCTTATAAAATATGCTATCAAACAGAACATTTAATGTATTATCCATAATTTTATTTTGTCCATATCACTTTAGGAAGCTGTGATAATGAGAAAAATAATGAATCTATCTCTTCCAATAAAATGTCTCTGAAATGTCATGAAGAATATAAATCTAATCCACTTTCAGAAATTTGGCCAGTATATTTTATAAACTGCCTTAAGTGGATCATTTTTTAATGAGGAACATTTGTCCAGATGCACAAAAGTAATAGCACAGAACATGTCCTCAGTTTCATTTGCTGTTCTAAAAGTATTTGATATCTTCAAAATCAAATTTATTCAGTAAATCACCCGTGTACTTTCTGTTAGTATTATAAAAGCTCAGCTATTTCATATAATGACTAGCTGGATCTCAGCTATTATTCAGACTGAAGAATGCTTTAAATGCAATATTTGACAGCTGCAGTTATTCAAAACAGCCTGCTAAAGGTAACATTCAAAACAGCATGTCCAGTGTAGTGTCATTGTGCATTACAAAGCAATTTTGTGCTCTGCAGAGTATTTTCTGAAATGTAAACACATCAAACATTAATTTTAAAATTTCAAATCCTTGCATCCTATGTCTTGAAAAGAGTAACAATAATTTAGAGCAGGGGTCCCCAAACTTGGCAACTTTAAGACTTGTGGACTTCAACTCCCAGAATTCTCCAGCCAGCTATTCTGGGTGTTGAAGTCCACAAGTCTTAAAGTTGCCAAGTTTGGAGACCTCTGATTTAGAGTATCATTATCCATCCAAGCTCAATGTATTCTTTCTTCAAGTATTTTAGAGAACAAAATGGTAACTCCACATCTCATTCAAGTATTTTAGTTAGAGAACAAAATTGTAACTCCGCATCTCATTCAGCTGTAACGTTTATTGCATTTGTAAAATAGTCATAGGTGG